CTGTTTTGCACCAAGTAAGACCGAGCTCAGTAAGGATTTTGCAGAAGTATATCAGCACAATGTGTCAGGCCTTTGCTACAGTCTGTTGAAGATCCAAGCCACTCCTGGGAAACCGAACACTTTGGAAACTTCCTGTGCAGAAGTACACTTCCTCCCCACAGCCAGTGAAGCATGAGGAGAATCGTGAAAGATGACGGATGGAGGCTCTCAGATATTTAGTTTAGTCCTAGACAGGATTTCTTCCTGCCTCCTTCTGATGAACCCGATGCACCACACCTCTCCGCCCCTCTGTAATGACAAACTGAGGGGCTCCAGAGCTGTTGAAGCAAGAGGCAGATAATCAAATCACACAGGATTGCATGTCACATTTGACCTACAGGTCCCTGTTTTCTGGGCTCAGAAGTGGAATTGAATCCATAGAAGTGCTTTTGACTCCATGCGGGAGGAAAAATAAAAAGGCAAAATCTCAGCTGTGTTCGTTTTTTTTTTGTTTGTTTTTTTTAATGCTTCTATCTCTCTGACTTAGATTTTTCCAGCATATTTTTTTTTTCTCCGTCTTTAGCTGTGACAGCCTCCCTTCATGTGCGAAGAGGCTGTTAATGAATGTCGATGTGCATGTGCGAAGTGTGTGGGTTACCAGATCAGCTTCCTCTCTGAGTGACAGAAGCTCAACAAGGTTTTGGAGGACGACTCAAGAGTTGTTTTAAAAAGCAAACAAGGAACATCTTTTTTCCAGATGGCCCTGACAAAAACAGAGAGCCTGCGTGAATCACTACAAGCCATTTGGAGCAGAACTACTATCTATTTTAAAAAAAAAATACCTCACGAGTTGGTCTGTCGGGTTTGAAATGTGCGGCGTTGCTGCTGGTCACAGCTCTTTATCTGTGTTTGCAAAAGTGACAAATACAAAAGAGAAAAATTCCCGTTGAAGCTATCAGGACTGAGGCATGACAAGGAAGGAGTAAACATTTATTTTGTGATTCTGTGTGGTTTCCTACAGCTGCCTCTGTCAACCTCTGCTCTAATCTGTGAGTATCTGCTATATACTCCCAACTAAATTGCTGTTTATTCTATTCTGTAGCTGTGAAAGCTGCAGCCTGCTTCTGAATGTTATCAAAGGGGAATGAGGGTCCCAGGATGCTCAACACCGCTGCTGACACAACATTATTCCTAAAAGACCCGCCACTTGATTTGACCAAGCAAAATGTCACGGTAATTGTGAAGATTTATATCAATGGGAAAGAGCTGACGAGGTCCCGCGGCTATCAGATCTGACAGACCTAATACGTGCTCGAATGTTGGCTGCCACACTAAAGGCTTGCAGGTTGACCAATTTTACCTGGAATGTTCCACCTCAGCTGATATTGACCGAGCAGCCGTTTTTCACTTTGGCAAATCAAGTGTGAAGTGGAACCTTTAGGTTGTGAAATTGTGTTTTTAATAAACTGGAATGCCTTCAGAGCCTTTTTTTTATTTTTATTTATCAAATATTTTAGCTTTTGCTTTTTGTGTTGTTTCAGATAACATGAAAGTTGGCAGACAGATGGTTTGTGTAAACAGGCAGACCTTTCAGTAGGTGTTCTTCTGTTGGAATCCTTCCCCTCCCTCGGGATGGGCTTAAATAAAATTAATTGTGCATTGTGAACTTTCTTTCCTGCAACAGAACAGGTGGCATAACGTAAAGACACTCTTAGACATGCAGTATTTCTGCAAAGCTCAGTCATTTGTGTTAAATGGATAATAAGGTGAAGATAACGCTTAACGTAAAAGGTACAAAGCACTGAAGGAGTGAAAAACAAACGACAGCTGAGCAGTCGTTAATAAACGTGTGAAACTAATTGGACAAAAATCATTAGAAATACCATACCAGCAAACCTATAGTGGCCATTTAATATAGGAAACCACGTAAATAAACTGATAATACAAATCTACAAAGAACAAAAATTGTGGTGAATTGACAAAAAGAGACAGATTAAGACGATGCTAATAAAAAAAAGCAATTAAAACGTGTCAAAGTTTATGCTGAAGGCGTTGGTAAAGAACCTAAAAGAAAAAATGCGGAGGCAGAAGGCTGGCAGGTAATGAGGACCACACTTTTAATAAAGAAAATCTAAAACCAAATTAATGACAAGAATCTGATAAATAAAAGAAACCACACCAAAAATACATAGAGGGAAACTATATACATTACAGAGAACAACAGCTTAACGGCAATTAGCTAACAGAAACTAGGTTTGACAGGACAAGTCAACAACGGAACAGGAACTACCGAAAAGACAGGAAGTAAGCTAAAAAAAACAAGGAACCTGGGCCAATGCAAAAACACAAAAGTACAGTAGGCACATGCAACCAATACAACAAACAAAAACTACATTTAAAAGTAAAAGAGAATTATGCAAAACCTTAAAGCAAAACCAGAAAAGCAACAAAATTAATTGTTTTTTAAGAATGTTGTTTGAAAAGAATGGATGGATGGATGGATGGATGGATGGATGGATGGATGGATGGATGGATGGATGGATGGATGGATCAAAAATTTCAGCTTATATTTAGTCAAAAACATGAAGCGGTACCACTTTATAATAAGGCTCCCCTTATAGATGGCTAATAAATAGTTTATAGATATGTTATTAATTCCTCTATAAGCACTTTGTAAATCATAAATAATCATAAATAATTGTTTATTATGCATTAATTAAAGGCTGACAAGAGAGACAAAACTGACCAGTGTCTTGCCAAATAGTGAGCCAAATCTGTTCACCTATATATTTCATTGACGTAATGCTTTTATGCTTCTAGTGCTTAGTGTATATTTAGTTGATGTTTGTCTTAGCTCATATCTTAGATCTTATTACTGTTTTTCTTTTACATTTTATTGTTGGATGTAATTAGGGGCAGCACGGTGGCACAACTGGTAGAGCTGTTGCCTCTCAGCGAGCAGGTCCATGGTTCAAACCCCGGTCCAGGGGCCTTTCTGGGTGGAGTTTGCATGTTCTCTCCGTGCATGCGTGGGTTTTCTCCATGTACTCCAGTTTCCTCCCACAGACCAAAAACATGCATGTTAGGCTGATTGGTGACTCTAAATTGTCCCTAGGTGTGAGTGAGAGAGTGAATGTTGTTTGTCTCGTTTGTCTCTATGTGGCCCTGTGATGGACTTGCGACCCGTCCAGTGTGTACCCCGCCCCTCGCACAGTGATTGCTGGACATGGGCACCAGTGACCACCGTGACCCAAAATGGAATAAGCGGGTAAAGATAATGGATGGATGGATGGATGGACTGTATTATTTTTCTTCTTCTTTCGGCTGCTCCCTTCTTCAGGGATTTGCCACAGCAAATTGACTCACAAGAAGACTTTGCAATTGTTTTTATGCCGGACGCCCTTCCTGGTGCAACTATAGACCACCGAGCTGCCACAGCCTTCTGTGTGGAGCAGGGAGCTGCCATTTAGGGTGCCTGGGGGAGCAGATGGTGGGGGTTGAAGGCCTTGCTCAAGGGCCCAGAGTGGGGCAAATGAGGGGGGGAGACAGGTGTTTCACCTTTCCCACCACATTTGATGTTGTTAGTACAGTAAGTCAAACCTTCTGATCACAGGCCCACTTTCTAACCTCTGCACCACCACTCCCCCAAAGTGATAATGCAACTATACATGAGAAAAATTACTTTATGGCATTAAATTGATCCATTTTCAGTTTTGTGATTAGTTTATAGTTTGATTTGCTCCAAATGTAGCATGTGTTATTCAATTACTGGGGAGACAAATTGACCTCATTTCCTTAAATGAATTGTTAAAATTGAATAGTTTTCATTTGATGCTATTTATATCTTAACATGTGAATCTTGACCTGCCATTGTGTATCTGTTCTTCCTTCCTGTTCCTCTCAAACCCAGCCGGTCGAAGCAGATGACCGCTTGTCCTGAGCCTGGTTTTGTTCAATGTTTCTTCCTCATGAGGGAGTTTTTCCTTTCCACTGTCGCCTTCATGCTTGCTCCAGATGAGAGTTCTGCTAAATTCAAATCGGTCTGCTCCTCAGATAAATATTGTTAAATTATTTTTATATATATGAATGCTTCTGTTCAGTGCCCTGAGATGACTTCTGTTGTGACTTGGCGCTATATAATTAAACTGAATTGAATTTAAAACCAGTTTCAGACTTCACTCTTTTTATAAACTGTGAACTATTTGAGTAGAAAACATTTCAAGTGGTGTAAGCTTATCTCAATAGTGTGTGATTTTGAAAATTAGAACATTCTGAGTAAAGATGTTCTGAAAATAACAGTTTTAGGATTTTAACCAAAAGTTTTTAAAAAAAATTAATTCTTCCATTTAATCGACGTTGTGTTTTTAATTGAAGGAGGTATTAATTTATTATTTTGCTTTTGTATTTTGACCTGTAAACTCTTGTCCTCAAATACCAGTCTCAATCATTTTTGTTTCTTTTCATTCAATCTGTGCACAAGCGTGAATTCCTTTAATATAAAAACTCCGATGATTTTGTCCCACAGTTCTTTAGTCGTCTCGGCTGTTGTTTACTTGACCTGTTTTCTTTGTGAGCGTGCCGACTCAGCGAGGGAAGCGATTTGAAATCTCTATGAAGCTTCTGAAAGAAAAGAAGAAAAACTTAAACTACTTGATGATGCTTCAATACATTCACATAATATAACTATATTTTGTTATAACTTTGAGTTTTCTGATACAATGGGATGTGAGGAAACATGTGCAGAATGATCATCTTAATATTCTTTGGAATTTAATCTTTTTCAGCCTAAAATTGTTCGAGACTTCCTACCTTTCAAACAGAAGCACACCAGCAGGAGGGACATCTGCTTTGCTTTAACGGGTATCACAAACGTTTCGGTAATTCCACTCCATCTAAAAGTCCCCTCCCTTTCAGCACACCCCCAAATTACAGCGGTGGAATGAAGCTCGGACGCCTTGCCTTCCAAAAAGCATTGGTATTTTCCTAAGAGCTTCGGAAAGATTCCTTTGCAGGGTTGCATCATGGAAGCCAGCAGTCAATCCAGCAGTCAGCAAATTCTGTGGAGAGATGTGAGTCTGTTTTCGTCATCATTTGTTTTTACCACAGTTAATTAACCCGCTGCAAAGAGGGCTAAAGATGTATTTATATATAATGTATTGAATTTTAGTAGGAGCTTCAGCTATTACACTTTATTAAAATAGTGGCAGTTTGCAGAACTGCTGCTTTGAAAATGAGAAAAATCATGTGAAATAAAGTCAAAGATTTAAGTTAAATATTTCAACCTTTTAAAATATCTTTTTATTTGCTTTGCCTTGTTTATTTGCTTCTTATCCAGGAGCATGAAAAGGACCAAACAGAGTTTTAGGGCTCTGAAATTCTACTTTTCTTCTTCTCTTGGTATTTTTGCAACAGGTGAACTTCACAGCACAGCCTTTCATATTACATATAGAAATGTATTTATCAGAAGTTATCTTTTCTCACCGGGCATCAAAGGAAAGGTTACTGCAGCAAATACACATGCAGAATCTGCAGTAAGTGATGGAGAGTGGTTATGAATAAGAAATCACCTGTGGCCTCTTTTAGCCTTCATAGGAATTTAAATTATCTTATAAGTTTGGTCTGGTGAGGCGAACCACCGCCTCAGCTTGTTGCTTATGTAGGCGAGCTGTTGTCGATTTATTTATTTATTTTTTCTGGGGGTTTTTTGTTTTTTTTTAAGAAAGTGCTCATTCTTGGCTTACAAACAACAGGGGGCTTTGGGCACTTTTCTTCCCGGAGCTCAGGAGGAATTGCCTGGCTGATTCTGAACTCCTAAACCTTTAAACACTGGTTGGCGGATGCTGTGCACTCAGACTGCTCACACTGTCTCCGTCCCCGTCCCCGTCTTTATTCCTGTCTGTCTGTCTTTCCATCCCACCTTTTCCCCCAGAGCGTTTGATATTCAAAGCGCAGCCAGAGAGAGGTTTGTCCTCGAGTTAAGTTTCCACTGCTTATGCAACCTGCCACATGAGCGTGGATTTCATCCAGTATATATTTTTTTAATCTTCTTCTCTCTGAGAAATTCTGAGAGTGAGGAATTTCTGGCTGTACATCTGTTTTTCATTATGCTCAGGGGATTAACAATACTTTGGAGAGCTTCACTTTTCCAGGGCTAAAGAATGGTGCAGGTAGCTTCATCAAATGGAAAAGCAGACGTAGAAGATGTCCTGATAATTTATATTTTGGTCTCACTGCTAAAACACTTCATCAATCCTGCTGTATGTCATCAAAAAACAATCACATTTCCACATAATTTAATACTTCTTTTAATATAAAAAGCTATTAAGGATTATTTACTGTGACTTTTTAAACAGCATTAAAAGCAAGCAGTTATTAATTCAGGAGTAATTGCCATATGTATTTAAAAAGTCATTATGCGAACTAGCCCACTGCCTAACAACTATAACAACCTCAGCCACAATAGGAAACCAAAGCTGCTTTATCATCTTTTTAAAAGACACAAAGATAAGCAACACCAATTTTGCTAATTGAAGTTGGTCCCATTTTTAAAAAACATATCTGCTTTTCTGTTAACCTCGGAGACCTTCAAATGTGGTCCGGTGTGAATGAGGAGCTTTCATTTTCTCCCTGCTGGAGCTCCAAAGGAACAAAAGCTCATCTTTATTAATTTGTGGCCTTAAGCTTTGGGAATTAACTACAGCGGGCAAAGTTATAATTCAAAAAGAAGTTGAACAAATGCAACCTTTCTGTGACATGTCTAGTTGTGTGTTCTCCGCCTGCTGCGGGAATGGATTAATGTGTGCTATTATCTTATCTATGGAAATATTTATTAGAAAGGTCAAATTAAATTATAGCCTTTGAAACAATTCCAATAAAACAGAAAATCCTGATTTAAGGGTTATACTACCATATTTTTTGGACTATAAGGCGCATGAAGCGCAACAAAACAGTCAAACTTTATTCAACTCATTCACAATAACTCAATATTATGTTGTACCACATAAAATTGGTTTGAGGTCAGTAAGCACAGCCAGAATTAATGCACAGGGCTCACTGTTGATTGTTGAGAAAATCAAAGGATTTTAAATGCGCCTTATAGTCCGAAAAATACGGTAAATGATTCTTTGAAAAAATATATTAAACATATCAGCACGAGTGGAAATAAACTAGAAGTTCTCAAGTTGAAAAATGGTTTTGGTTAAGAAGCATTTGACCACAGAGCTTCATCCAGCCATCGTTTTCTTAAACCGCCTCTCCTTTTCCGTGTCGTGGCGAGCTGGTGCTTATCTCCGGCGATCACTGCCCAGTCCATCACAGGGCCACATATGGAGCTCCAGACATGGCTTCATATGACGTTAACGGGATGGTTCAGATCTTTCGTGGAAAGATTATAAACAATGAGTATCTTACCCGTTGTAGATGGCGCCACATTAGTTCATGTCTAATAAAGGCCGAGACCAAAATAAAACACTGCTGCCAACTCGTATCTCCAACATTTCATAGTGATTCATATAAACCTCATAAACCTTCATTCACTGTCACTTTCGCATTATTTGGATATTTACATGGAATTTTAGGGGATATTTGTGATTTTAGGGGATATTTGTGGATGACGGCAGCAAGTAGCTGAAGCAGCTTCCAGCAGGAATATCATATTTGCCTTGCAATGCAAACCTAACTGCAAAACCAAATCAAAACTCTTTCATTTGTATTGCATGAGAAACACAAGATCAGTTTTGCAAACAGTAGCTGGTCACAGAGCTACTTAACAGACCTGATTTTTTTTTTACTCTGCTCTTCTTTTCTTCTTCTCAAACACAGATAGGAGGAAAAAAGCAAACTGGGTGGTTACCGCTTGCCAAAATTATTATCTACTCATAATTTCGAATCCTCTTCTCGTTTACTCTGAACTCTGAGGCAGTCTGCCACGTCTCACTGAGCTGAGCAGAAAGCTCGACACATAAAACTTTTCGTCTAAAGGACCCCAGCAGACCAGACTGCGTAAATCATTTTCCATTGCACTTGATCTCTCTCCATTGCTTCGTCCCTACTAATAGACAAACAGTGCCGCTGAAATATTTTTACTGTAAAAGAGAGAAAAAACGGTTTACTTTAAATATTGCAAGCGCTTGTTTTACTGCATGTCCAGTTCATTTGACAGTAATATGTTCTTGATTTGGAAAAATTTGTTCTGTTTGCAGGTTGAAGCTGCAAAAGAGAAGAAGCCTAAGTATCACTCCTGCCAGTGGGTGGTTCTTACCCTGGCTCTGGTCTTCCTGGCTTTGGCTGTCTGTGTTTTCAGTCTGAGATACATGTGGGGCCCAAGTCTGGGGAAGGTAAGTCTAAGTAGCACCTCGGTACTTTACTGTCATCAGCTTTATTGTAACTATCTGAGGTAAATGTGGTCCTCGTGATAGATGGAAGACACTCCGAGCTTCCACATCTGCAAATCATACAGGTTAGATCAAAGGGGGGGAAAAAAATATGTGAGCGAGGAAGACGGATGGCCAAACAAGAAACCAGAGGCAGCTGCATTGTATTCGAATAGATTAAAAGATGTGTGGGCTATAGAAGAGACAGCTGTATTTTCCTCAGCTCATGTTTTGGCTGTCAGATCTGTAATTTTGTGAAGTCTTGGCTCTGACCACAAACCATTTTTTTTACTGCTGCAAATGTTGCTCTGTTGAATTTATCTACTTTCTGCTCAAATTGTAAACATCTTCTCACAATGAAGGAGCCTGGTAACTAAAGGCTGACCCTAATTGCTGTTGAACAGAGTGGCCGCAGAAGGACTGAAGCCTCTCAGCAATCTAATTGGGATAAACTCTTGTCCTGGCAATTCATCTTGTAAAATCCAATTCAATCACACTTGATGGAGAACATTTTCACTCTCCTCCCTTTCACAGATTTTCCCAAGGGGCCGAAAGAGCTAATTTACCAAAGTTAGATGGAAAAATACATCAATAATCTCACATCCAGAAATTGGATGCTTCATGTTCTGAGCCTGGTAGGAGAAAGATAATTAGACTGAAATGATGAGTGAAAATGAACACACACGGTTGAAACTTGATTTTATAAAAGCGGCTTTGTGTGCACAGTGAATGCTGGGAGGTCAATAAGGGGAGGTGTGGTGTGCTGGAAGTTGCTTGCGTTCATACCCGTGTCATTGTTGCAGCTAATAAACATTAATTCAGTGCACACATCTCTGTTTCTGCCTGCACTGAGGTACAAATTTCAACTGCAGACAGTCCTTTCTCAGTTCAGGTTAGCAAAGGGTCGTCTGCGCTTCCTGTATAGATGGTATTGTCCACGCTCGTTCTTTTCAACGCAGATATGAATCACCTTTGAGCCATCTCCTTTGTCCTTGTTAAATATTTCATGCCGGAGGCAGAGCAGTCATTATTTCCACTTTAATAAGCTGTGATCATTCTCACGTGGCTCAAAACGTGTTGATGGCAGAGGTTGCCCAGGCGATGAATATCAAACCTGCAGACCCTGGGTTTTGCTTTAATGGGGCCTTGAGGGAGAGGCTTATTGCCCGGCGTCTGTATCGGGGATTAAGATGGAGCCACTTCAAATGAAGATCACCTGTTTGTTGGATGTGAGAGGAAACTCCTTCAAACATGGAAAAACTCAGGTAAAACCACGCTTGAGGTAAGAAAATGGATTGATACAGGTAATTGATGAACATATTTGGCAGCAAGCATCCTATTCGATGCGGTGTGAGGTGCTACGATGCAATACTTATTTTTGTTTCACCCACTAATCCTGAGCAGAATCCTCAGCTACAGGTAAAACCAGCCAAAGCAGGAAAGTGTGGACTGTGTGAGTCTTTATAACTCAAATTCTACTTAACTTTAGAGCTTATATGAACATTCACAATCATGTTGAATCGGGTTTGAAGCAACAGAAACATACAGACAAACTGTTGCCATGGTTTCCAGAATCACTTTTTTTTTGCATCACTTGGCTGCTAGGAAACATGCAGAAGCTTAAGCAATAATTCAGGTATTCATATTTTAAAGATCTGTTATTAATATATATCCTTCCTACTCATTTACTCTGTAAAGCTGTGCTAATAAATATCACTGAAGGATGTTCAATTGTTTTTTGCCGCAGTTGTCACAAAAATGTTCTGCCATCACTTGCCCAAGAACAGACTCTAATCAAAAACAATTTTTCAGATCTTTTGAAATGGGTTGTTTAAAAAAATATAAAGTTATTATCTTAACTGCTGCAGACAGTATGTGAGTGTCATTAGCTTGGAATAGACCCCAGTGGCTCAATACCACTTGGATTAGGCATTAGCTTTTCAGCCCAGTCCGAGTTATACTGTTTTGTCAAACTCATTCAAAGAGCCATGTACAACAGGTAAAATATCAAATATTCATGATTTTGCAGAGTCGTACCTTTAACATGTAAATTGGTATTGCAGGATGATGTTCCATATCCTATTTTTACACACAGAGAGAATTTATGAGGACTTGCTCTGGACTTTCTCCACACTTGGTTGTAAAAGGTGTGGTTCACTGCAGGAGATCTTCAGTGCAACTTTTTATCACAGATAAAATTTATCCTGAGTGACACCCTTGGTGGAGCACGGGGGAGTTGATTCCACAAATACACCTGTGAAACTCTTGTTTCGTATCACATCTAGAATAAAAGTTGAGGCTCTCTACCGATCAATAATGATGAACGTTTTTTGTGTTGGCACATTGTTATTTACGTTATTGACGAATGTGAAGCAGTAATCGCATGTCAGCTTGCAGCTCACTCACCAGGACTCCTTTCGTTCTACAATATCTTCTATATTCACAGTTTCATTCAGAGATTTTCTGGACAAATTAGCACTGGAATTGTGTAATCTTATACGCCACCCCTCCAGGTCTTGTGAAGAAAATTTCAGGGCAACAGAGCTAACTGATAATTACCTACTCTCCATACCCTCTTTTATCTTGCACAGAAAGACAGGAGGCTGGAGTCTGGCTATAAGGAAGTCTACACCCCAGACAGATCGCTAGTCCATCACAGGGAGACAGATACGGACACTCGCACTCAGCCAATACATAATAAGCAATTAAACTTAACCCTCTTGCTGTGAGGAAACGGTGTTTTCACTGCACTGCTATGCCTCTACGTTAAATCATGCAGGAAAATCCAAACTAGCTTAGAGAACAAAGTATTCAGGAGCAAAAGTGTCAAATGTTTTCCTTCAGGAAAAAATAAAAAAAGAGCAAAAAAGAAGAACCTTGAACATTTTCCGATTAGCAACATTGCTCTCTTAAATGAGTTCAAGAGCGTTCCATCTGCTTGAATGTTGCGATCTTTGCTACGTCCCATCACAAACCAGGGTTGGAGAAGAAAATGATCCAAGCAGAGTTAGGCAGCAGAGAGCCGGCAGGCTACGATAAAAAAAAAATGATCAAGAAAAAAAAAAGAAAGAAAGAAAGCTAAGCCAAGGACACTGCAGAAACAGGAGGCTCAAAACTTGACAGAACTAAAACTGAGCAGAAAACAGAACAAAAGGGGTGGCAAGACTGACAAAAATGGAAAGACTGGAGATGAACAAAAATGTTGCTGCATTTCATTTACCTCAAACGTTGGACGTCTAATCTGGGAACGCCATCAGATCTGACTTTTTGTTGTTCTAACGGTTGCACTCATTCACCAGGCTTACTGCTTTTAGCAATAGAAGTGATAACATCGATCTCTGTGCATTGTGCGCTCCCAGATGTAGCAACAAGATCACCAACAGTGGGTGACAATTATTATGTGTGGCCTCATTATTGAGATGCAAACTAACAAAAGTTAACGTAAAAGGTTTATTACTGCACGTGTCACAACTTTTCATGCGCAACTCAGCACATCTGAGACTCTCTCATATAAACTGAAACCTGATCTTAACTATTTGACCAGCTGTAAGATTCATTCATTCAACCTTTATTTATACAGGTTAGTGCCCACTGAGCCTCGGGGACTCATTTACAAGAAATTCTTAAAATGTTAAAAGAACAAGACAGCTTTTATTTTTACTTTACAAAATATTATTGATTAAAAAGACAGTTGCACAGATACTAGGATGCATTCTAAAGTTGCTTTAGTGATAGTTATACATAAAATAATGAATGTCTTCAGTTGGACATGATCAGCAAAAATACATATTAAAATGGATATGTAAAGTTGGGGATGACACGGTGGCACAATTGGTAGAGCTGTTGCCTCTCAGTGAGAAGTCACTGGTTCAAATCCTTTCCCGGGCCTTTTCCGGGTGGAGTTTGCATGTTCTCTCCATGCATGCATGTATTTCCTCCGGGTACTCCAGGTTCCTCCTACAGACCAAAAACATGCATGTTAGGCTGATTGGTAACTCTGAATTGTCCCTAAGAGTGAGTGAGAGAATGAATGGTTGTTTGTCTCTATGTGTCCCTGTGATGGACTGGAGACCTGTCCAGGGTGTCCCCTGCCTCTCACACAGTGACTGCTGGATATGGACACCAGTGACTCTTGTGATCCTAAAAGGAAGAAGTGGGTAAAGAAAGAGGATGGATGGATGGATGGATGGATGGATGGATGGATGGATGGATG